TGCCATAAGTTACACTTGCCATAAGTTACACTTACCATAAGTTACACTTGACATAAGTTACACTTGACATAAGTTACACTTGACATAAGTTACACTTGCCATAAGTTACACTTACCATGAGTTACACATGCCATAAATACCTTTGCCATAAGTTACACTTGCCATAATTGCAATTGCTATTATTTTCTTACTTTTCAAAGGTATAAATGTAACTTTTTTTCATAAACACGTCATATTTAACATGAAAATCCCAACAAATTGAAATCAGAATAGTCGAGTTCCAAATGTTCTCAATGGAGTTCCCTTTGATGACCGTCGAGACCATTGGAAATGTAAGATATAAATTGTAATTAATTCTAATCATGGCAAGTCTAATTATTACAAGTTGAATCATGGAGGGTGTGACCATTATGCCAAGTATTATTAATGGCAACCATATTATATGAAGTATATTATGGCATACGTATTTTGGCAAAAAATGAAGAGAAGTTTTTTTTAAATTACGGTTTCTAATTTTAAATCCTGAGAAAAGTATTTATAGATTTCCCTGACAAAAGATCAATCAAATGTTCAATGGATCTCGAATTTCATTAATTTTTTTCAGACCATGTTTAAAAAAAAGCTGATGCACTTTTGCTTCCGAAAAAAAATTTCTAATTTTATCTATTGGTTCAACTTAACCCTATCTCTGCTGGGGTACTTGAAAACCAGGATATGCTGGGGGAGGGGTCAATTTGACCCCCCCCTCTAAATCCCATGTTCGATGTCCAAATATGACAAATGATACATCATTGGAAAGCTCTTGTGCTCTACTTCTAGAATCTGCAAAAAAAATTTGCAAATTTGCAAAAAATTAATTTTTTATCGCAAAATCCAGTTAAATAGTAAAAATATTTGCAAAACAAAATTTGTACAAAAAATGAAAAATTATACATTTTTGATAAGCCCTTGACCATGCCATTTCAAATATGCAAAAAAATTTGCAAAATTTAAATAACCTGATTTTTAATCAAGAAAAACTAAAAATGTGCAAATTTTCTTTTACAGGTTGTTTGCAAAAAAATTGCAATTCTTTTTCGCAAAACTTGTGCAATTCGTTTCCTTATGTCAAAGGCTTTCCAAAAAGCTAAATTTTATCAAAATCTGACAAGGGGAAGTGGGTTAAAACAAAGATTTAGTTTGTTACAGGAAAAAGCAGTCATTCAGGCAGTTAGTATTAAAGCCCAGTTTTAGGCCTAAAGTGAGGGATTTGGGTATGTAGGAAAAGTCAGAAAATTTCAACAGCCTCAGACCAATACTTTTTAAGTTCTGTAAAAAAAAACTACAGGAGGGGGTCAAATTGACCCCCCCCCAGCAGGAATAGGGTTAAGATATTTCTAAAGATTTCTAAAATAAAATGAAGTATTTGTTTGCAAACACTAGATTTAACTTGAATTAAAAATCATCAAAAAATGAGAACTAAATGTATATAAAAGCATTCAAACCTCCAAACAGATCCAAGAATGGTCTGAACACCAACCGAGGATTTGTCTCTAAAAATAGGAATTAGTTTTAACATTTTGTTAAAAGATTCAGTGCACAAAGAAGAAATTGTTAATACGTTATTTATTTGTAAATATATGGGCTGGGCTGTAAATCAGGTAGATCAGGTACTTCAGGTAGATCAGGTAGATCAGGTAGATCAGGTAGATCAGGTNTATATAGTACAGTGTACAGTGTACATACCGAGGAACTATATAGTACAGTGTACAGTGTACATACCGAGGAACTATATAGTACAGTGTACAGTGTACATACCGAGGAACTATATAGTACAGTGTACAGTGTACATACCGAGGAACTATATAGTACAGTGTACAGTGTACATACCGAGGAACTATATAGTACAGTGTACAGTGTACATACCGAGGAACTATATAGTACAGTGTACAGTGTACATACCGAGGAACTATATAGTACAGTGTACAGTGTACATACCGAGGAACTATATAGTACAGTGTACAGTGTACATACCGAGGAACTATATAGTACAGTGTACAGTGTACATACCGAGGAACTATATAGTACAGTGTACAGTGTACATACCGAGGAACTATATAGTACAGTGTACAGTGTACATACCGAGGAACTATATAGTACAGTGTACAGTGTACATACCGAGGAACTATATAGTACAGTGTACAGTGTACATACCGAGGAACTATATAGTACAGTGTACAGTGTACATACCGAGGAACTATATAGTACAGTGTACAGTGTACATACCGAGGAACTATATAGTACAGTGTACAGTGTACATACCGAGGAACTATATAGTACAGTGTACAGTGTACATACCGAGGAACTATATAGTACAGTGTACAGTGTACATACCGAGGAACTATATAGTACAGTGTACAGTGTACATACCGAGGAACTATATAGTACAGTGTACAGTGTACATACCGAGGAACTATATAGTACAGTGTACAGTGTACATACCGAGGAACTATATAGTACAGTGTACAGTGTACATACCGAGGAACTATATAGTACAGTGTACAGTGTACATACCGAGGAACTATATAGTACAGTGTACAGTGTACATACCGAGGAACTATATAGTACAGTGTACAGTGTACATACCGAGGAACTATATAGTACAGTGTACAGTGTACATACCGAGGAACTATATAGTACAGTGTACAGTGTACATACCGAGGAACTATATAGTACAGTGTACAGTGTACATACCGAGGAACTATATAGTACAGTGTACAGTGTACATACCGAGGAACTATATAGTACAGTGTACAGTGTACATACCGAGGAACTATATAGTACAGTGTACAGTGTACATACCAAGGAACTATATAGTACAGTGTACAGTGTACTTACCATCTCATCCAAAGTATTGTTAGATCCTTAGTGTAGGTGATAAATCCAGTGCTATTCACTTTCTAAAATATTAAGATTATTAGGAGTTCATGGATATCCTGATATATATATATATACCTGTGGATATATCCTGATAGATCTACCTGTGTATATGTCCGGATTTATCTACCTGTGGATATACCCTGATATATCTACCTGTGGGTATACCTTATACATCTACCTGTGGATATATCCTGATATATCTACCTGTATATATATCCTGATATATCTACCTGTGGATATCCTGATATATCTACCTGTGGATATATCCTGATATGTCTACCTGTAGATATATCCTGATATATCTACCTGTGAATATATCTGGATATATCTACCTGTGGATATATCCTGATATATATACTTGTGGATAATTCCTGATATATCTACCTGTGGATAATTCCTGACATATCTACCTAAGGATATATCCTAATATATATACCTGTGTATATATCCGGATATATCTACCTGTTGATATATCCTGATATATCTACCTGTGTAGATATATCCTGACTATTTACCTTTGGATATATCCTGGCAAATCTACCTGTGGATATATCCTGATATATCTACCTGTGGATATACCAGGATATATCTACCTGTGGATATATCCTGATATATCTACCTGTGGATATACCAGGACATATCTACCTGTGATATATCCTGATATATTTTCCTGTGGATATACCAGGACATATCTACCTGTGGATATATCCTGATATATCTACCTGTGAATATATCCGGATATATCTACCTGTGACAATATCCTGATTTATATACTTGTGGATAATTCCTGACATATCTACCAAAGGATATATCCTAATATATATACCTGTGTATATATCCGGATATATCTACCTGTGGATATATCCTGATATATCTACCTGTGGATATATCATGATATATCTACCTGTGGATATATCCTGATTTATCTACCTGTGCATATATCCTGATTTATCTACCTGTGGATATCGTAATATATATACACGTGGATAAATCCTGATATATCTACCTGTTTATATATCCTAATATAAATACCTGTGTACATATCCGGGTATATCTACCTGTGGATATATCCTGATATACCTACCTGTGGATATATTAAGATATATCTACCTGTGGATATATTCTGATATATCTACCTGTGGATATATCCTGATATATCTACCTGTGGATATATCCTGATATATATACCTGTGGATATATCCTGATATATCTACCTGTTGATATATCCTGATATATCTACCTTTGGATATACCAGGACATATCTACCTGTGGATATATCCTGATATATCTACATGTGGATATATCCTGATATATCTACCTGTGGATATACCAGGACATAAATACCTGTGGATATATCCTGATATATATACCTGTGGATATATCAGGATATATATACCTGTGGATATATCCTGATATATCTACCTGTGGATATAGCCTGATATATCTACCTGTGGATATATCCTGATATATACCTGTGGATATATCCTGATATATATACCTGTGGATATATCCTGATTTATATACCTGTGGATATATCCTGATATATATACCTGTGGATATCCTGATATATCTACCTGTGGATATATTCTGATATATCTACCTGTGGATATATCCTGATATATCTACCTGTGTACATATCCTGATATATCTACCTGTGGATATATCCTGACATATCTACAAAAGGATATATCCTAATATATATACCTGTGTATATATCCGGATATATCTACCTGTGGATATATCCTGATATATCTACCTGTGGATATATCCTGATATATCTACCTGTGTACATATCCTGATATATCTACCTGTGGATATATTCTGATATATCTACCTGTGGATATATCCTGATATATCTACCTGTGTTCATATCCTGGTATATCTACCTGTGTACATATCCTGACATATCTACCTGTGGATATATCAGAGCTGAAAACTTTAGAATGGTGGATATCGGGATTAAGGCTTAATCCACTCTTTTTCTTAATCTCGAGATTAAATATTGCTTGTTCTCCACTCATTTTTAATCTCCAGATTAATTATCCGATCAGGATCAAGGATATCCCATTCTAAAGTTTTCAGCTCAGGACATATCTACCTGTGGATATCCTGATGATTCAATCCAAAGTGTTCCATATATCCAACTGACCCCAACTATAGCTTGCAGCACAACAGTCTAAACAACAAAATATTAGAATATTTTATGAAATATTAAATGTTAAATATTTATAAAAATCATATCAACTATGCCATATTGTTCCTTTTTAAAATGCATAGAAAGACACCTATAAACTCTTGAACCATGGGAAAACTCTAGTTTCTTTATAAATCATTATTAACTGTACATAAAATCTTTGGAATTCGACTTCCTAGTTCACAGTTTTGTCTCACTGTACATACATAAAGAGTTGATCAATTCTGATATCGTACAGAAACATCAGTAGAAATGAAAATATTATTGATCAATACCCCCCACCCCCGCCCTTTGGAAAATTGGGGGGACGTCCTAGCTACCTTGAAAAAAATTTTTGGGAGCCCTTTAATTTTGATTTGAAGAATGAATTCAAATTAGTTTTTGTTAGTTTTTGACTGCGGTGCCACTTAATCAGTGAAAATGGAATAATTTTAAGAATACTTATAACTTTAATAGAGGGAACATTTTTATTTGCTTTTAAACTTACCGCAAATGGTGCAAAAACTAGAAGAGGCATGGCATGAACAGCTGCTCCAGCTTCTTTAAACAGCTGAACAACAAGCTGGATTCTTTTTCTCAAAACTGTTCAATATTTAATGAAAAAGTTGTTGACTCTTTATAAAATGTCCGTCAACTGTAGTGTGTGTCTAACTCCTCTCAAAAATTTAATTTAACTTTGTTTCTTAATATTTCTCAATAAAATGTTTTCTGCGAGAAAAACACAGTATTTGATAAATGCATTTCACAAAGAATGAAAAAATTCGATTAAAGTATTATTTGAAAAAAGAATAAGCTGAATTAGTATTTATATATATTTTATATATATATATATATATATATATANGTTCATTATCGCTGAAACAAAATAATCTGTTCAGTAGTGTTCATTATCGCTGAAACAAAATAATCTGTTCAGTAGTGTTCATTATCGCTGAAACAAAATAATCTGTTCAGTAGTGTTCATTATCGCTGAAACAAAATAATCTGTTCAGTAGTGTTCATTATCGCTGAAACAAAATAATCTGTTCAGTAGTGTTCATTATCGCTGAAACAAAATAATCTGTTCAGTAGTGTTCATTATCGCTGAAACAAAATAATCTGTTCAGTAGTGTTCATTATCGCTGAAACAAAATAATCTGTTCAGTAGTGTTCATTATCGCTGAAACAAAATAATCTGTTCAGTAGTGTTCATTATCGCTGAAACAAAATAATCTGTTCAGTAGTGTTCATTATCGCTGAAACAAAATAATCTGTTCAGTAGTGTTCATTATCGCTGAAACAAAATAATCTGTTCAGTAGTGTTCATTATCGCTGAAACAAAATAATCTGTTCAGTAGTGTTCATTATCGCTGAAACAAAATAATCTGTTCAGTAGTGTTCATTATCGCTGAAACAAAATAATCTGTTCAGTAGTGTTCATTATCGCTGAAACAAAATAATCTGTTCAGTAGTGTTCATTATCGCTGAAACAAAATAATCTGTTCAGTAGTGTTCATTATCGCTGAAACAAAATAATCTGTGCAGTAGTGTTCATTATTGCTGAAACAAAATAATCTGTTCAGTAGTGTTCATTATCGCTGAAACAAAATTAAGAAATGTAAGATAATAAGGTTTAATTTTCAATCAAATATAATATGTACGTCAAAAACAAATTCCAAACTAATTTAATTAAAAATTGGCTTAAAAAGTAAAAAAAAAAGTTTTGCTAAAACAAGTGATGCTCTTTTCATTTAATTTTTTCGCATTTGAAAATGAAAAAATTCTTTGTAATTTCAAGTTAACTTTCATTTGAAGCGTATGCATTCTGTATCCACGACGGTACCCTTTTAAACCTTTAACAGATCAATAATGTGAAAGATACAGCCGTTTTTCTAGCTTGAAAAGTGTTTACTTCTAACAAGATCATCCTGTGTTTTTCTGTGTCAGAAATAGGCAAGTCATATTATAGAGAACCGAAAATGTAAAAAGTTAAATACTTTAAGGTTTACATGGTATATACAGTTGTTAATGGGATATTCTACTCTATAATTGGATTGAAATTACTTCTATACAGTCCCGTAAGATATTTGATATTTTGAATTGAGATTTCACTGAAAACCAAAAATACCAAGCTCTATAGCAAAAATCTAATAGAATTTTTTTTTATTTCAGTTCAGTTAGAAAGAAGTAAATGTCAGTTTTAAAATGATCATGTCCAAGGCTACAAAAAAAGTATAATAGAATTGTTAAGGTAAAACGACGACTAAAGTTGCGACTAAAGTTGGAGCGTTCTTAATATCATAGTTTTGTGCAGACCTGATTGGTTGTTAGGTTTTGATTCCTCAGCTGCCTGTAGTTTAATATCCTGGTCCTTGAGATACCACAGAACCCAGAGCAGAACAGTTCCACCAATACATCCAACAACAACCACACCAATGATCACGTAAACAATAACCTAACATTTTATCATATTTTTTTAAGTCTGTTTATCTTTAATAACCTGTATAATACCCTGAATAAAAACCTCGTAAAAAAACATTCTTTATCTCTGAAACGGATTTTAAGAGCTAAATAAATCTTTAAACATGTCATATGCATGTGTAAAATTAGATTTGTTGAACTTTTGAGCTTGAGTTGAAATTTAGAAAGAAAAAAGACTTTTATGATTTAAAATTAGGGAAAATAGATTTTTATAGTGATCGTTACTCATTCTTGTCTCTTTAAATTAAAGAATTTGCTCCTCGATTTGAAACTAAAATTAACCCTCAAACAAACAAGATTAAGTAACAGTGCTTGAAGTTGTAAACAAACATTATACAGTTGAATAAGACAGAGCCCAAAACTAAGTCAGAGCATCGTTATGAAACCCAGTATCAGGAACCAGATTAAATGATTGGAGTCAGGGGTTGTATATACCAATATTTTTGTTATAACTATTTATAACACTGTTATTTTAGTTCGCAGTGTTATAAAGTTTTTGGACAGAAATTTTCTCTTTATCGAAAAGGTTCAAGCCTTTTTAGATTTAATTTTGTCCCAAGCTTTAGCGATTTAGAGCGAATTAGAGATTTAGAGAAAATTTAAGCCCAAAAACTTCATTGCACATCTTGCCAAAATAATAGTGTTATAGGTAATTTTATGAAACGTTTGTGTACTTGTCTTATTTCAATAATTTCTAGATCAAATAATCTTTGAACAAAGCAGAAGTCAAAATATAAAGTTGATTTTAATTTTATTTTTATTTCAATTAGAAAAAAAATATTTTGGAAATATCCTAATTTTTTTGGAGAAAATCCGGGAACCAATCAAAACTTTATAGCACACGTGCTATAATTTAAAGCTAATTTAACTTTATAGAACGATGATTACTTTATAGCACATTCCTTATGAAATTCAAGGTAAATTGTGAGGAAGAATACACAATAGTTTCATGTGGTTTCTTTGGAGTCTCTTTGTATTCTGAATTCTTAAATTAAAATATACGCAAATTGATATACCCCAAAAACGGAACTTGGAAGTTAAGTTCAAAATTCTTTTTAATTTCCGGCTCAGAGCCGTTGCATAAATATTATGTATATGACAATGATTTTCAAACAAATGGAAAAAGGTATATATTTTCTCCTGACCTTAGCTAGTAATCTGAATGCCATCGTCATCAGCAAGGATAACACTGAAAAAAATTATATATCTTTTTTGAATATTTGGCCGCAGCCCGCAAAAGAACTTTTGAATATCATTTTTCAATTTACCAGAAACACCCAAAGCTATGTTTACAAATGAAGTGTACTGCAGTTTCTGAGAGAAATGTAAACAAAATTGTTGCTACTCCAGCTTTGTTTCTACCAGAATCTTCAGTACACTTATTAACCCTATCCCTGCTGGGGTACTTGAAAACCAGGATATGCTGGGGGGGGGTCAATTTGACCCCCCCCCTCTAAATCCCATGTTCAGAATCTGCAAAAAAATTTGCAAATTTGCAAAAATTGAATTTTTTATCGCAAAATCCAGTTATATAGTGAAAATGTTTGCAAAAAAAAAATTTTCAAAAAAATAAAAAATTATACATTTTTAAAAAGCCCTTGACCATGCCATTTTAAATATCCAAAAAATTTTGCAAAATTTTAAATAACCTGATTTTTAATCAAGAAAAACTAAAAATGTGCAAATTTCCTTTGACAGGTTGTTTGCAAAAAATGGCAATTTTTTTTCGCAAAACTTGTGGAATCCGTTTCCTTATGTCATAGGCTTTCCAAAAAGCTAAATTTTATCAAAATCTGACAAGTGAAAGTGGGTCAAAACAAAGATTTAGTTTGTTACAGGCAAAAGCAGTCATTCAGGCAGTGTGCCTGAGGACTCAGGCAGTTAGTATTAAAGCCCGGTTTTAGGCCTAAAGGGAGGGCTTTGGGTATGTAAGAAAAGTGAGAAAATTTCAACAGCCTCAGACCAATACTTTTTGAGTTATGTAAAAAAAACTACAGGGGGGGGTCAAATTGACCCCCCCCCCCAGCAGGAATAGGGTTAATCTGTTTGATTGCATTATGTCTCACTCTCTATGTGATCCTAAGGTTGAAAGGTCTCACGTAAAAGTTTATAAGAATTTTTCCATTTAATTACTTCATGAAAACTACACTATTTTTCCATTTAATTTAAACGGTAAAATTATAGAACATGGCTTTGTAACACTTTAAAGTCTACCCATGCCTTGAAAATTGACGCAAGCTGCATATTTGTGGTCTATTTAATCCAAACATTTCTAGCACAGAAATGGAATAAATCCACATATTTACATCTAGTATATTCACATTTTTAGTTAGAGCTTAATTGGTTACGTATTATTTAATAGCTCTTTGCATTAGAGCAGCGAAAAGTCTTCTATCGAATGAAGGACATTGTAAATAATGTGCAATTATTAACTTTGCCATTTAATTGGTCGATTAAACAATACATTACAGGGAATCGTTTTCATAAAATTTTCTAATATTGCAAAGATGCCAAAAGAGTTTCACCAAAAAAAATTATTAAAAAATGAGACGATCATTGTTTTACTTGTTTTTTTTTTATTAAAATGAATACCTAATGCTATAACTGCCATTAGAAGGAGTAAATCTGAACAAGTTTTTAAATCAGAAACAACATCATTTACAAAACTCTGAGCTCCAGAACCAGCAAACAAGCCACCTAAATGTAAACAAACAAGGTTTAAATTGAAACAACCAAGGTTTAAATACAGTCAAGGTTTAAATGTAAACAAACAAGGTTTAAATGTAAGCAAACAATGTTTAAATGTTAACAAACAAGGTTTAATGTAAACAAACAAGGTTTAAATGTAAACAAACAAGGTTTAATGTAAACAAACAAGGTGTAATGTAAACAAACAAGGTTTAAATGTAAACAAACAAAGTTTAAATGTAAACAAACAAGGTTTAATGTAAGCAAACAATGTTTAAATTGAAACAACCAAGGTTTAAATGTAGACAAGGTTTAAATGTAAACAAACAAGGTTTAAATGTAAACAAACAAGGTTTAAATGTAAACAAACAAGGTTTAAATGTAAATAAATAAGGTTTAAACGTAAATAAAATTAGGTTGAAATGTAAACAAGTAAGGTTTAATGTAAACGAAGAAGGTTTAAATGTAAGCCAACAAGGTTTAAATGTAAACAAACAAGGTTTAAATGTTAACAAACCATGTTTAAATGTCAACAAATAAGGCTTAATTGTAGACAAGATTTAAATGTAAACAAGGTTTAAATGTAAACAAACAAGGTTTAAATGTCAACAAATAAGGCTTAAATGTCGACAAGGTTTAAATGTAAACAAACAAGGTTGAAATGTCAACAAATAAAGCTTAAATGTCGACAAGGTTTAAATGAAAACAAACGAGGTTTCATGTAAACAAACAAGGTTTAAATGTAAACAAGCAAGACATTTTGAAAGATTTCAATGTAAACAAAAAGGGTTGAAAAAGAAAAGAAATAATGTTCAGAAAAACAAAAAGGTTGTAATCGAAAATAACACTGCTTCAAGACATCAAGGACGAGTTTGAATTGAAAATATTTAATGAAAACTAAAAAATTCAATTAAAGTATGTATGATGCAATCTAAATTTAAAAAAAAACATGAATGTGAAAACAAAGAAAAACAAAATATTTACCAGCAGTATTTTCCACAAAATCCGGTATACAACGATCCAGAAATACTTTGCTGAAATTTATTCAAAAATTAAGGAATAAATTTCTGTACAGAAATTATCTTTGAAACAAAATGTCAACGGAAATTGTATTTGAATTTTCTTAATTTTACTTTTTCTGAAGTGCTGTAATCTAATACTTTTTATTCTGGATTTAACAATTTTGTTAAATATATTTACCAAGTTGCCAAGATTAAGAGAAAAAAACAATATTCAGTGTGGGACAATATAAAACAATATTCAGTGTGGGACAATATAAAACAATATTCAGTGTGGGACAATATATGATATATCTACCTGTGGATATATCCTGATATATCTACCTGTGGATATATCCTGATATATCTACCTGTGTATATATCCTGATATACCTGTGGATATACCAGGACATATCTACCTGTGGATATCCTGATGATTCAATCCAAAGTGTTCCATATATCCAACTGACCCCAACTATAGCTTGCAGCACAACAGTCTAAACAACAAAATATTAGAATATTTTATGAAAAATTAAATGTTAAATATTTATAAAAATCATATCAACTATGCCATATTGTTTCTTTTTAAAATACATAGAAAGACACCTATTAACTCTTGAATTATGGGAAAACTCTAGTTACTTTATAAATCATTATCAACTGTACATAAAATCTTTGGAATTCGACTTCCTAGTTCACAGTTTTGTCTCACTGTACAAACATAAAGAGTTTATCAATTCTGATATCGTACAGAAACATCAGTAGAAATGAAAATATTATTGATCAATACCCCCCACCCCCGCCCTTTGGAAAATTGGGGGGACGTCCTAGCTACCTTGAAAAAAAATTTTGGGAGCCCTTTAATTTTGATTTGAAGAATGAATTCAAATTAGTTTTTGTTAGTTTTTGACTGCGGTGCCACTTAATCAGTGAAAATGGAGTAATTTTAAGAATACTTATAAATTTAATAGAGGGAACATTTTTATTTGCTTTTAAACTTACCGCAAATGGTGCAAGCACTAGAAGAGGCATTGCATGAACAGCTGCTCCTGCTTCTTTAAACAGCTGAACAACAAGCTGGATTCTTTTTCTCAAAACTGTTCAATATTTAATGAAAAAGTTGTTGACTCTTTATAAAATGTCCGTCAACTGTAGTGTGTGTCTAACTCCTCTCAAAAATTTAATTTAACTTTGTTTCTGAATATTTCTCAAGAAGGGTGCTGTCAATAAAATGTTTTCTGCGAGAAAAACACAGTATTTGATAAATGCATTTCACAAAGAATGAAAAAATTCGATTAAAGTATTATTTGAAAAAAGAATAAGATATAAATAATAGTGACTTCTGTAAGTATATTTGTTCGTTTAGATAACCGATCATAACTCATGAACCCCTTCGACCGAATTGTATAAATTTTGATTTGAGAACTCTTAAGAAGCTCTATAAAGTTCTTATGTTTATTTGAAAATTATAAGTTGAACAGAGCTGGGAACTTTTGAGAGGTGGATATCGGGATTAATGTATAATCCACTCTTTTCTTAATCTCCTCATTAATTAACCGATCGGGATTAAAAATATCCCATTCTAAAGTTTTCCGCTCTGAGCTGAGCTAAGGGTCAATTTTAGTTTTTAGACAATGCTGGGTTTTTTAAGCTTGAAGCTAGCTACAGTATGAATATAAAGTTACTAAAAAAAATTGGGATTTTCCACTGAGCAGTATAATTTTGTTTTTAATATCGATACCATTCAAAATTACGATCATAATTTTATTTTGATTTTCTAAAAATCTATTGGTAATTTTTCATTTTTGAATTTATTTTCTGTCACATTAATTTTTTCATATAAAAGTTGTCTCAATCAAAATTGTCAAAAAAAGTCAAGATAAATTGAAAATAAAATCTCTTAAATATTTTCCTAACAGGATCAATAGAATAACAGCCTGAAAAAAAGAATATATAACCAACAGAAAATGTACCTATATTGCTATAGTATGTGGCAAGCTATTTTTACTATTAGAATATACTTCCAATTTAGAAAGTACGATTTACCGTGACCACTGTAGCGATGATAGCTCCAGCCAGGAAATAATTCACTTCCGCCTAAAAACATACAATACAGGATATAAGAGTCATTAAGTAACATTTCAAGAGGTAAATGCCCGAGTCACGAAATTAAAATAAAAAATTTCTGAACACTTGTAAAGAATTAATATCGATAATCTTCAAATACGTTTTCTTTACTAATGCAACTTGCGGATTTATGCAGTAGACAAGTAAAGAAACTTGACAGAATTAACCCATTCACAGAAAAGTATATATATGAAAAATAACACACAAAAGACTAAATGAGCTTATAAATCAATTTGCTTCTTAGTATATATTTCCTAAATAGTTCAATTCAGAGAAGTGATTACCAATTATAAAACTAATAAGGAAAAACAGGGAAAATGTCAAATACATTTTCCTTAAGTTGGATTGGAAAAATGTGGAAAAATGAGATTAAAACATAAACTTAGAAGTTTACTTTTTTTGAATTGATAAGAAGATTTAAAATAATATCAAGGTATCAAAATCTTTACATGTTTTCAATCTTATCTCCTCTTACTGTAAAGCTATTGACAAGATCAAAAATGTTGCGAATTTCAAATGTGAAATCGAATAAATTTTATTTTCTCATATTTTGCGTGAAATTAAAACTAGAAAGGGCTTCAAGGTCACAAAGCTGTACCAAAAATGTCACATAAATTTAACTTTCCGTCTCTGTTTAGTTGGCAGTACGTGTACATAGACGTGTACATATACTTTTACATATTACTTGCTTTAGCTGTCTAGAAGTCGGTGCATGATACTTCAAATAAACCGGAGTTTTCAGCAATGCAGAGTGATAACCATAATTATCATTATTAGTATTATTCGATCAGATCAATTCAATAGCATTCAAGTAATCCTGTTGTTCCGCTTTTTTACTCTGACTTCCGTTTCAGTCTTTAGAATGGTATATTTTTGGTGATTAGTGCTATATTGTGAACCCAGCCCAGGATTCCCACATGTTTATAGTATCATTTAGTTCATTGCTTTCAGTTGGAGAAATGATGCCTAACAAATGCAATCCAAGAATAAAGCAAAACATGCCAGATCCAGCCCAAAGGGGTATCGAACCTGAGTATGCTCGCAGCCTTAGTTCATAACAGGCTAGGCGGACATAGGGTATTGAACCCCTTTCTCATCTGGAGATATCAAGTCAGTCCCCTTTAAAGAGCGGTTTAAAGGGCAGCAGGCAGCTAGGGTAAGATTGATGCTGGAGAAAGGAAAGAAAAGGCATATATCCAGGCGGCCAAGAAAGCAGTTTCGTCGGCCATCTTATGTCTGGGATTTTTCCAGGAATTGGCAATTAGCTTGAAGCATCTGATCAAAAGATTCGAAAGAAATATATTCGCCTCAGGCGAATTTCGTGTGTATTTGGATCAACTTTAGTTGTATCGTTTTAATATAAATTTATACTGTGTGCGCAACCATGCTTTTTACTACTGAATTCTTTTGTCTGTTTGTTTGTTTGTATCCAATAAACGTCAAAACGGCTGAACCGATCGGGCCCAAATTTTTTGTGGTACATTACGTGACCACAGGGAAGGTTTATGAATGATATCCGCGAATTTTTTTTTAAAAATCCGCAAAATATTTTTCTTTTTTGTTTTAAAATGTAAGCAAAAAGAACATGTTCACAATTTAAATAGAAGATGGACTCGAAGCGCCCTGAAAGCCTAGTATTATAAATTTAATTATTAATATGCTTTTTATCATATACCCGCCATTTTTCAACATACATGAAAACGTGTTTGGAAATAAATTTTAAAATTTTCGAATTTAAAACATGCCAGATCCAGCCCAAAGGGGTATCGAACCTGAGTATGCTCGCAGCCTTAGTTCATAACAGGCTAGGCGGACATAGGGTATTGAACCCCCTTTTTCATCTGGAGATATCAAGTCGACCGCGTTTAAAGAGCGGTTTAAAGGACAGCAAGGGTAATATCGATGCTGAAGAAAGGAGTGAAAAGGTATTTATCCAGCTGGCAAAGAAAGCAGTTTCGTCGGCCATCTTATGTCTGGTATTCCCCAGGACTCAGCAGTTAGCACAAAGCATCGGATCAAAAGATTCGAATGGAAATATATTCGCCTCTGACGAATGTCGTGTATATATAAATATATTGTGTGTGCAACCATGCTTTTTACTACTATATATATACTATCTTTATATAAATTTAATTATATGTTTTTTTATAATATACCCACCATTTTTCAATATACGTGAAAACGTGTTTGGAAATAAATTTTAAAATTTTCGAATTTAATCAATCTAAAAGAACTCTTTGTTTTCCTTTCATCTAACTTGCTCCTTCGAGTGTAAATTATTAATTTTACACTTTTAAGAAATTAAAAATATTTGAAAAAAGATAAATCAAAAACAATAACGGAATTTTCACTTTGAGAGAACTAAACTTTGCATCTTGGGGGGGGTGGGTGGCTTTGTCTTTCAATCTTTGACTATGCGAAATCTGGTTGCATAAATAGCTATGAATTAGATGAATAGGAAGTTGAAATCAATAGCTACGGCTGGTTCAACTCCAACGAAATCAATTAACTCCCACCACCCTTCTGCAGTTCAAGTTGATCTTGGGAGCAACATCAAAGTAGTTGAATTTTGATATTTTCTAAATATTTTGAGATTTAGAATACCCAACATATTCGGGAAATATAATTTTCAAGAAGCAAACCTATGAGTTTAATTGAATTATAAACTTTTGGATAAGAAATCAAACCTGTAAATTTTGATAAGAAATTAAACCTGTAAATTTGGAAAAGAAATTAAACCTGTAAATTTGGATAAGAAATCAAACCTGTAAATTTGGAAAAGAAATTGAACCTGTAAATTTTTATAAGAAATCAAACCTGTGAACTTTAATAAGAAATCAAACCTGTAAATTTGGATAAGAAATTAAACTTGTGAATTTGGATAAGGAATCAAACCTGTGAATTTGGATAAGGAATCAAACCTGTGAATTTGGATAAGAAATCAAACCTGTGAATTTGGAAAAGGAATCAAACCTGTGAATTTGGAAAAGGAATCAAACCTGTGAATTTGGATAAGGAATCAAACCTGTGAATTTGGATAAGGAATCAAACCTGTGAATTTGGAAAAGGAATCAAACCTGTGAATTTGGATAAGGAATCAAACCTGTGAATTTGGATAAGAAATCAAGCCTGCGAACTCAGATCAGAAATCAAACCTGTGAATTTGCTTTAGAATAGACCTAAGAACCTGTGAATTTTGTTAAAAATTGGTTAACCTGAGAATATGGTTGAAAATAGAACTGTGAATTTTATCAAATTATAAATATCTGAATCTGAAACCTGCGAATTTGCTTGTGAAGAGCTGCCAAGAAAGTTTCTTGTAATCTGTTCAGTAGTGTTCATTATCGCTGAAACAAAATAATCTGTTCAGTAGTGTTCATTATCCCTGAAACAAAATAATCTGTTCAGTTATAGTGTTCATTATCGCTGAAACAAAATATTCTGTTCAGTATTGTTCCTTATCGCTGAAACAAAATATTCTGTTCAGTAGTGTTCATTACCGCTGAAACAAAATATTCTGTTCAGTAGTGTTCATTATCGCTGAAACAAAATAATCTGTTCAGTAGTGTTCATTATCGCTGAAACAAAATAATCTGTTCAGTAGTGTTCATTACCGCTGAAACAAAATAATCTGTTCAGTAGTGTTCATTATCGCTGAAACAAAATAATCTGTTCAGTAGTGTTCATTATCGTTGAAACAAAAATAAGAAATGTTTAGATAATAAGGTTTAATTTTCTTAATAAGGGTTTCAATCAAATATAATATGTACGTCAAAAAAAATTTCAAACTAAATCTTTAAGTAAAAATTGGCTTGAAAAGTAAGAAGTTTTTTTGCTAAACATGTGATGCTATTTTTCATTTAAACCTTTATCAGATCAATAATGTAGAAGATACAGTCGTTTTTCTAACTTGAAAAGTTTTTATTTCTTATAAGATCCTCCTGTGTTTTTCTGTGTCAGAAAAAGGCAAGTCATATTATAGAGAAACGAAAAATGTAAAAAGTTAAAGACTTTAAGGTTTACAGGGTATATACAGTTGTTAATGGGATATACTACTCTATAATTGGATTGAAATTACTTCTATACAGTCCCGAAAGATATTTGATATTTTTAAATTTAGATTTCACTGAAAACAAAAAATACCAAGTTCTATAGCAAAAATCTAATAGAATTTTTTTATTTCAGTAAGTAAATGTCAGTTTTAAAATGATCATGAACAAGGCTACAAAAAAAGTATAATAGAATTGTTGAGGTAAAACGACGACTAAAGTTGCGACATTTCAAAGTTGGAGCGTTCTTAATATCATAGTTTTGTGTAGACCTGATTGGTTGTTAGGTTTTGATTCCTCAGCTGCCTGTAATTTAATATCCTGGTCCTTGAGATACCACAGAACCCAGAGCAGGACAGTTCCAGCAATACATCCAACAACAACCACACCAATGATCACGTAAACAATAACCTAACATGTTATCATATTTTTTTTCATAACTTGTATAACCTGTATAATAAGTACCCCCCCCGGTCAAAAGAAATTTTTTATCTAAAAAAAAAAATCTTTAAAGACGTCATATGCATGTGTAACATTAGTCTTTTAGGATTTTTGAGTTTGAGTTGAAATTTAGAAAAAAAAAGACTTATATGATTTAACATTAGGGAAAAATAGATTTTTAGAGTGATTCGTTACTCATTCTTGTCTCTTTCAATTAAAGAATTTGATCCTCGAGTCTCGACTTCGTTTGAGATTTGAAACTAAAATTAACCCTCAAACAAACAAGATTAAGTAGCAGTGCTTGGTATTGTAAGCAATCATTATACAGTTGAATAAGACAGAGCCCAAAACAAAGTCAGGGTATCTTTATGAGACCCAATATCAGAAACCAGGTTTAATGATTGGAGTCAGGGGTTGTAAATACAAATATTTTTGTTATAACTATTTATAACACTGTTATTTTGGTTTTTGGACAGAAATTTTCTCTTTATCGAGAACCTTTTTAGATTTACTTTTGTCCCGAGCTTTAGCGATTAAGAGCGAATTAGAGATTTAGAGAAAATTTAAGCCCAAAAACTTCATAGCACATCTTGCCAAAATAATAGTGATATAGGTAATTTTATGAAACGTTTGTGTACTTGTCTTATTTCAATAATTTCTAGATCAAATAATCTATGTAACAAAGCAGAAGTCAAAATATAAAGTTGATTTTAATTTTATTTTTATTTCAACTAGAAAAAAATATTTTGGAAATATCCTAAATTTTTTGGAGAAAATCCGGGAACCAATCAAAACTTTATAGCACACGATCTATAATTTAAAGCTTATTTAACTTTATAGCACGATGATTACTTTATAGCACATTCCTTATGAAATTCAAGATAAATTGTATGGAAGAATACACAATAGTTTCATAAAGAAATTTCATGAGGTTTCTTTGGAGTCTCTTTGTATTCTGAATTCTTAAATCAAAATCTACGCAAATTGATAGACCCCAAAAACGGAACTTGGAAGTTAAGTTCAAAATTCTTTTAAATTTCCGGCTCAGAGCCGTTGCATAAATATCATGTATATGACAATGATTTTCAAACAAATGGAAAAAAGGTATATATTTTCTCCTGACCTTAGCTAGGAATCTGAATGCCATCGTCATCAGCAAGGATAACACTGAAAAAAGATAATATATATCTTTTTAAATATCTATAATTTGGCAACATAAGAACTTTTGAATGAAGTGTACAGTTTCTGATTATTGTTTCCACCAGAATCTTCAGTACACTTATTAATCTGTTTGATTGCATTATGTCTCACTCTCTATGTGATCCTAAGGTTACAAGGTCTCACGTAAAAGTTTATAAGAATTTTTCCATTTAATTACTTCATAAAATCTACAGCTAAACACTAGTGCTTTAAAGTTTTACAATGTTTCGGAATATAAAAAAAGTATATCATTTAATAGCTCTTAGCATTAGAGCAGCAAAAAGTATCCTTTCGAATGAAGGACATTGTAAATAATGTGCAATTATTAACTTTGTCATTTTAATGGTCGATTAAACAATACATTACAGGGAATCATTTTCATGAAATTTTCTAATATTTCTATATAAAAGAGTTTCACAAAAATAATTATTAAAAAATGAGACGATCATTGTTTTACTTCTTGGTTTTTATTAAAATGAATACCTAATGCAATAGCTGCCATTAGAAGGAGTAAATCTGAACAAGTTTTTAGATCAGAAACAACATCATTTACAAAACTCTGAGCTCCAGAACCAGCAAATAAGCCACCTAAATGTAAACAAACAAGGTTTAAATTGAAACAACCAAGGTTTAAATATAGTCAAGGTTTAAATGCAAACAAACAAGGTTTAAATGTAAGCATACAATGTTTGAATGTTAACAAACAAGGTTTAATGTAAACAAACAAGGTTTAAATGTAAACAAACAAGGTTTAATGCAAACAAACAAGGTGTAATGTAAACAAACAAGGTTTAAATGTAAACAAACAAAGTTTAAATGAAAACAAACAAGGTTTAATGTAAACAAACAATGTTTAAATTGAAACAAGACATTTTGAAAGATTCCAATGTAAACAAAAAGGGTTGAAAAAGAAAAGAAATAATGTTCAGAAAAACAAAAAGGTTTTAATTGAAAATAACACTGCTTCAAGACATCAAGGACGAGTTTGAATTGAAAATATTTGATGAAAACTAAAAAATTCAATTAAAATGTGCATGATGCAATCTACATTTTAAAAAAAAACATGAATGTGAAAACAAAGAAAAACAAAATATTTACCAGCAGTATTTTCCACAAAATCCGGTATACAACGATCCAGAAATACTTTGCTGAAATTTATTCAAAAATTAAGGAATAAATTTCTGTAAAGAAATTATCTCTGAAACAAAATGTCAACGGAAATTGTATTTGAATTTTCTTAATTTTACTTTTTCTGAAGTGGTGTAATCTAATACTTTTTATTCTGGATTTAACAATTTTGTTAAATATATTTACCAAGTTGCCAAGATTAAGAGAAAAAAACAATATCAATAAAATTTTTAAAAACCGTTTTTATTCAGTGTGGGACATTGAAACTATGTTATCAATCTTATTCATATAGTGCGACCCAAAAACCTGTGGAAAAGGAAACGACTTTAAACTCAAGATATGGTTTTAAAAAGATCAATGAATATGAACCATAGCATGATTGTGGGGTAAAAACAGAAACCATTCCAATTAAAGAGTAGATTTTAAAGCTACAGGTGAAACCACTAACTTTAAACAATAATTAAATACTTCCAAAATTGTCGTCTTCCCATTCTAGAGTTTTCAGGGTATTACTGTAAATTTGTTCTATACAGCTGGACCAAATTTGTTGAATTTTTTTAGGGAACCAGCCACAGGTACCCCGAGACCAGCCACAGGTACCCCGGGGATGGCTAAAAAATCAAAAACTGGGCCCTCATATTCCCAGAGGAAGATTGCCGCGTCATAATCATAATTATTATCAAGCGCGGGTTTAATTTATTTAATTTCTTCTCAAAATCAAATTGTAAAAGCTAGTAAGCTGCCTTGTCTTGCACTCTAGTTGCGTCTAAATATTGTCCAAGATGGTGATACC